TTTCTAAATTGTTAGCCTCGATTATGCTTAGACGCCCAACTAGTGTTCGTGAAGAGATGACTCGAGAAAACCAGTCTGGTTTCAGACCCGGTAGCGGATGTATAGACCACATTTTCACACTACGATAAATCCTCAAACACAGACATATACTTAGGCATCCTACAATAGTTGTCTTTCTGGACCTTAAGACGGCATTCGACTCGGTGGATCGTGAGGATCTGTGGTAGTGTCTGTCATTGAAAAGTGTACCAAAGAAGTACATTAACTTTATACAAGCTCTCTGCTCTAAGACTACTGGTCGAGTGTGAGCTTCTGGCGAACTGTTATCAAAATTCTTTACCTCAAGTGGTGTCCGTCAGGGATGTCCACTCGCTCCATTCTTGCTTAGTTTTGTCATAGACATGCTGTTGGTATAACCTTATCCTCGTCCGACATTTCAGGAAACGACTTTCTACCAGGAAAATCGCTTGCTAACTTAGAATATACCGATGATATAGTCCTACTTGGTGAAGACGCTGACAAAATGCAGAGTCTTCTGACTACCATAAGCAACAATGCTAGCATGTTCGTGATGCGGTTTTCCCCATCGAAATGCAAAATATTGCTTCCAGAGAGGGTCACATCGGCACCTGAAATAGTGTTAGGGAGTGAAGTAGTCGAGCGTGTAGACCGCTTCACTTATCTGGGGAGTTTCATCAGTGCTGATGGCCTGGTTTGTGACGAAATCTCAGCACGGATACAGAAGGCTCGATTGGCTTTTGCCATACTGCGTCACTTATGGCGTTAGCGAGATATCCGTTTGCTAACCAAAGGACGAGTGTACTGCGCAGCAATTCGCTCTGTCCTACTACAAGGATAAGAAACATAGCCGTTAAGAGTAGAGGACATTCGTAGGTTAATAGTCTTCGATCATAGGTGTATCCGAAGCATTGGTCGTGTATCCTGGGACGACCGAGTAAGCAATGCCATCGTTAGGATGGCATATCAATAGATGAAGCATTGAAACTTCATCAGTTGAGGTGGTTGGGATATGTGTTACGCATGCCTAACCACTGACTGCCTCGAGCGATGTTTTGTAGTGTAGGAGTAGGTCGGAAGAAAGTTAGGGGCGGCCAAACCAAAACATGGCAGGAATCCATGAAGGCTATCTGTTAGGCTATCTGGTTGGGGTCCGCGTGACCTTGAACGACATGGCTCAGAATCGTTTGCAACGGCGCAGGTGCATCCACTCTTTGTGTGCTTTTTAATTCTAACCTTCTGAATTCCTCATAATCTCTATATTTCTCCTTCTAAATTTATCTCACTGAATAATACTTTTCGAATCATATCTTCGCTCCCTAATCTTCTGCATTGCTGCTGATGATTCTACTGTCACTATCACTCTTGGATTTGAACTGACATTTACGTCTCTGTGTTGACGTGGTATGGTAACCTGAACTGATGTACTTATGTACGAAGTTCTGCGTTGTATCTGTCTGTCTATATTTATATTTGGATTGTACTCATTTCAAAGATCTCATCACAAGTAATCTCGTTATAAACAACAATCTGTAGATTTAGAAACATATAAAGTTGATTATTGCCTGGATTCACAATTTCATACCTCTAAATAAAAGCTCACACTAACAGGCTCGATTCAGTAAGTGCATTCATTTATGAATTTTTCTGGTTCATTCTTACCATGTTTAAGGTGCTCTAAAACTTATATGAATTGCTCACTCTTATTCGACAAAAAATCCATCAATGTTCCTACATGGAATTCCAAAGCAGCTCTCTCTTTAGATATCCACTCGTGACCCTGTCTCGTGGTTTAATTAATTGGAAAGATTTTCCTGGGCACACATAATCAAAAATCCAGCCTCCATCAAGCTACTAACCAATGTGTAGATAGGCAACATGTTGTTGCAACTGGAAAAGTATCTGGTGAGTATCCTAGGGAATATGCATTCTGACAAACGATTATTTTACCAATGTGGCTCAGGCGCCTACCACAAAAAGTACAGCAAATAGTGATTAGAACAACACATATAAGCAAACAATATTGTTTTCATTTAGATCGTCGTCGGGCTTTACTCTAATTACCATGAATATTTATACGAAAATGTTAAACCCACCAAGACAATTTGAGTCAATAATCACAACGAAATAGATTACGTCACTACATATACTAGGTAAAAGTACAAGTTGATAGCAGGAAGACAACTGCTCCTGTGGAGATAGCTATATCAGGCATGCTACCAGGCGACTTAACCAACGAATGAGTGAACATCTCCCGGCGTAATTTATGAAGGGCCAGATAAAAACAGTACTTATTCTATCTTGACACATATGGCTGATAGTGGTCATATTGTAGATAAGTCTAGATCTTTTTGAGTGATCTATTGTATACCTCCATCATTTCCTTCGACCCCATCTCCTACATATAGCAGAAGCCATAGAAATCCGTACATTGAACCCCAATTTATGTGTTCAGAAGAAATTCATGACACTCCTATCCCTTCCATGGCCGGATATAACTTAACCAACGTTTTAAATAAATTCTTGTATTGCTATTTTTGTTATTATTAGCATTATTTTCACATCCTGAATTCGTTTTTAATTATTTGTCTCTTTCCGTTTATAGTCTTCACTATCTAATTATTTACATACTTCTTACTATGTAACGGTTTTATTGTTTGGTAATGATTATTCTAAGTCTATTTATCCACGTTTGACCTACTACTATCTCCAATGCTGAACAATTGATAAAACTGTTGTTATCATATCTTATTTTCTTACTGCTATCAGTACACCTGTCTTCCTGCTATCAACTTGTACTTTTACCTAGTATATGTAGTGACGTAATCTATTTCGTTGTGATTATTGACTCAAATTGTCTTGGTGGGTTTAACATTTTCGTATAAATATTCATGGTAATTAGAATAAAGCCCGACGACGATCTAAATGAAAACAATATTGTTCGTTTATATGTGTAGTTCTAATTTTCACAATTGGAATCTTTAATATTCTTAGATAGTGATTAAGACGCTGATACTTTGAAGCTTGAATAGACAGCTGATTAGATATTTTAAAAAAATGAAGCACAAACGAAATAACGCTATATTGAAGTTGTAGAGGCAGATCGAAAAGTAGATCTAGATGCCCTATATATAACCACCAGTACTACAGAAAGTTTGATTCAGCAGCCAAATACTCTCTGAACATGCGAACTTAAAAAGTCAGCATTGAAACGGAAAAGTCAGCGATTGGTGACGGCTGCCGCTATTACCAAAGTTACTCGGACCAGTACTCAATTATATATCAACTGACAAAAAGATAGAAGTTCCCAAATAATCCAACCCCATAGTCACACTCTAGGTTACTAGCAAACCTTATGTCAGTATCTGCTGTAAGCAATAACTGACACTGAACTTCAGGAAAGGCGCCATATCCTTTTAAAATTTCATTATCCTCGATGTTCTCTTTCCAACATTCGGAACTGATGTTTGACGATTTCACGCAGTATCAGTCGACCACACAAATAACAAAATCATACAAACATATCATACTGCCTCTATCAAAGGAGCAATATCTGATGCAGCTTCCAAAAACTTACGTACGTACAATGATTTACTAAATTGATTTCCTAGTCTACTACAACTAACATATAAGCTCAGTAACCTGAAACATAATGTGGTATTTTGCATTGCGATTAAAAGATTACCTGATTTTGCTAGTCCCAGACATCTTGAGCTTAACAATCTTATCTATCCCAAAAATGAATTCAGTCATGATAAGCCTTTTTCACAGTTCTTGGGCATCACCACTGCAATTGGTCCCCCAGGGAAACTCTATAAATATCAGACCTTATGATGATTAATATAAGAAGATTTAACAGATGAAAAAGACCGAGTAGGTATCCTTTTTCACACGCACTTCACAAGTAATTTAATTGATGCAAACATTTTCTTGCGAATAGAACTTAAAAGAGAGTATTATCATCTACTATAATTGGTAAAGACGAGACACTGAATCTAACTCATTTAAAAAGACTATTTGAAAGCCTGAATGACTTAGCACTCACTAGTTTTGGAAGAATGTGAGCCCAGAAAGCAGTCTCATACTTTCTTGGTTTATGTACTTGAGAACCAGAATATCAAACTGATTCCATATGAGATATTATCAATCATAAAAAATCATGCTTGACTCGAATATTTTAAAAAATTGCATCGATTTCTGTGGCTTGTCAAGTTTTATAGCCAATCTATCCCTAATTGCACAGCTATTGTTTGACTGTTGAAGGGTGGTAGTCTGTAAAGCATTACACCCTAAGTCATCCAATCATTTTAAAATAAGATATATATATATATTTGATTTTATTAAGAAATAGTAGTTCTGTACAAATTTGCTATGCACGTATGCAAAATAAAGGTGAATTAATGATCAGTGGAATTAGTGATTTAATGATATCTCATAAATTAAAACAACATACAATAAATATTTATTCAAGAAATAAATCGACAGTATAAACAATATAGTTTTTTTTTAAAAAAAAAATATTCAAGTGTCAGTACTAGATTACCAATAATTAGTTTACGAATAAAACTTTAAATGCTTCATGAAAAAATAAATAATAGTGATAATGATAATGATAATAATAATAATATTTACAACTTAAGATAAGCAATATGACTTTTTGTTTTAAATAATTAGATGCACAACAAATTGTTTAATAGTATATACTGTTCTAGTGATTGGTGTTACACAAAACAAGTATGATAATACAACAGTAAAACCAGTAAAATCAAAAGTCATGTGAACTAAAGCCAAAGAGAACAGGTCAGAGAATAAGCAAAACAATGTCAAGTTTGAAGAAATTAGTCGTGACCAATTTCATGGAATGAATTGTCTTGATTTATATTACGCACGTGATGATAACTCAGATGAGAATAATAATAATAATAATTAATAACTTATAGTGAGTATTAATTAATTAATTAATTAATTAATTAATTAATTAATTAATTATTATTCTCATCTGAGATATCATCACGTGCGTAATATAAATCAAGACAATTCATTCCATGAAATTGGTCACGACTAATTTCTTCAATTGACATGTGTGAATCTAACAACTGATAGGTATTTGTACTTTCATGATAACTGTATAGGATGAATCGAACATTTTCATCTGAAAAAAAAGAGAATAACAAAAGTCAGTGCTTTAACAAACCCACAAGCGGAAACTATAAATTATAGGCAGAGAGAGATGATAGATAGCAGTAAAATCCAGGATACACATTCCGTCCTATTTGGAGCTTGCTATCTGGATGTACTTACATCCCAGAGTTAATGTTTACTCTGCAATTCTGCTTATAATGTTTGTGAGGCAATCCTCACATGAAGCACATATGCCAAAAAAGGTTGATTGACTGCAAACTTAGACATCAAAAGAGAAATTCAAACAACCAATACAAATGGATAAGGATATTATTAACGTACATTTGATGATATATTTGTATTATTAAATTGTGATTCAGTGAACTAATGAAAGCAAATTTTAATGTCAGTCAGTCAGTCAGTTACAACGTAGGACTTCGTACGAAAGTACATCAGTTCAGGTTGCCATACAGCATTAGGACAAACACGCAATTGTCAAATCAAATCCCATAGTGGTAGAGATAGTAGAAGATTTTGGTTACAAGATATTATTCGAGAAGTATAATTCAGTGACATACGTTTAGAAAGACAAAAAAAGAAGTGTCAACGAATCCAGAAGATTAGGATTTGAGAGAGCTCAACGAATGGATGCACTTGAGCCACTGAAAACAATTTCCAGCCATGTCATTCAAGGTCTCTAACCATTGGTGACTTTCGTCTCGCTAACCACGACCACGTGGCCTACATCTGCCAACACGACTCAGTCCACTTGTCAGCGACTTCATGGATTTCTGTCATGTTTTGGTCTGGCCGCCCCTAGCTTTCTTCCAACTTGCTGCTACACCACAAAACAGAGCTAGTCGAGCCAGTCTTGGCATTTGCAACACATGTCCCAACCACTTCAACTGATGAAGTTTCGATACTTCATCAATTGATCTGCTATCCTTGCCTAGTACTCGTTTCCTAATGCCAGCATTGCTTACTCGGGTGTCTCACGATACACGAGCAATGCTTCAGAGACACTTGTGATTGAATACTAATAGCCTAAAAATGTCTTCTACTCTCACCGGCCGTGTTTCACAACCGGTTTGGCCTCGTGTGCGGTTACGGGTATGAGGGGGGATGTCACTTCCCGGTCGCCCACACACACACGACCTGGGAGCGTGATCGATCAACAGAGAATTGTAATTTTCGTACTTAATTATTCCCTCCATAACTATAATAAAATGAAAAATGTACCTAATGCATAGATATATACCATTTTATATGAACAGTTGCTGAACCATTAAAAAAAATAGTTAGTCATTAGGTAGTGGCCAATTTCACGTTTGTTTAGTCATTCAGTACGGGTCGTATTATATCGGCCAACCTTCAATATGACAGCTAGTGTACTATGCTTTGATTTTAGATGATTGGAGGTAATATGCAGAAAACCTTGAATCTTGGTTTAGTGAGGTTAGCACTCGTTACAATAATTTGTACTTCTAATCCTGAAGGAGCTTATGATTCCTCGTGAATTTGAACTTTACATGAAGTCAGTCACAGACCGAAAACTCAGCAGTAACACACTTCAAAAAGTGAAATCAATTGATCTACGTTAGAATCCACCAGGAAGCATTAGTTCCTTTAAAACTAAAGGTACGCGTGACTGAGGAGTACCAGCTAACATCAAATCGAGGTTCAGAGAGTCCTCGAGACAAGCTCAGATCACGTAATATTAACGACTAAGTATTTAGGAAACATAGACGACCTGATCGTATATTTGAGCTACCGATTTCCTAAAATCAAAATATTTCAACAAGTTACTTCTCTTTGTTTTAATGTGTCAACAATGTTTATTATTCGCATAATCTATTCAAGTGGGTATATAAAAAGTTTGCAAGCTACTATCACTACAATACAATCCGAAATATTTTGGTCGCTGGCGGGCGACTCTCTGAGAGAAAAATGAGTGCTAAAGTCCAATAGCCGATCACAAATCGTTTTGTAAAGTAAACTTGTTGAATTCCATATTGTACAAAGTATATAATATTTATTATTATTATTATTATTATTGTAAGATGTAAAGTATATATCTAACTGTTAATTTTAAGTAGAACTGTTGACATGAAATAAAATCACATAACCATCAGTAATATACTAGATCAAGGTAGAATAGAAAGTTTAAATTATATTTAAAATTAATTACTACAGTAAATGATTTTATTTATGCAGTGGTAAATTAACATAAGTAAATTTATACTTACCAGTTACTTCTCTGTTTATTCTTTGAAGATTAATACGTACAGTTAAATATCTACATAAATGATCAACTGAATTAGAAAGAAAAATAAAAACAATGGGAAAAAAAATATTCTTTAGCTAAAAAAGCATCATAGTGTAAAAATATAATACCTAACTTATAGATTTCAGGTTAATTTAAATGTAATAGTATTGTAGGATACAAATAGAGATTTTGTGTCTAAAGCAGAAGAAAGTATTATAAGCAATAATTCACTCCCGGTTATTGTTTGACTGTAAAAACAAGTATTTCAAGGTATACGATCAACAAGTTTTCAAAAAAGCGCTAATATTTGATGAAATCACTGAAAAACATACACCTAAACCAATAATAAAGCTAACGCGCTATGCTAGTCAACGTAAAATTTGATTACGCAAAAGTTGCGAAACACCACATCATAATTCTATAACAACTGTGTATGTGAGTAGTGTTCAGAATTGATTACATTTCAGCAGAGATTTATGAATTAAAAACTAATGTGACGTAGCTTAAAACCGATTGCAATAGAGCTGCCGTTAGTGAGTTAGAAACAAAAGAGAACTTCGTATGTACATACATCAGCTAAGGTTACACCATATCAACACAAAAAGACAATAAACAGTGCAAACCCCGTAATAATAGAAGTAGTAAAAGTATTTGGAGTAGTTGAACAGATTAGGGTGTGAGTTATTCAAAAAAAGAATCTGGTGAAATAAGACTGAAGAGAAAAAGATGAGAGTGATGAAGATTTCAGAAAATTAGGATTTGACAGAACACAAAGAATGGATGCACTTGCTCCATGACAAACGATTATGAGCCAACCAGGTAGTCAACACCTACTAACAGTAGTTCGCTCCGTCCTAATTTATGGTTGTGAAACATGGCCAGTGAGAGTAGAAGATATTAGTAGGTTACCGGTTTTCAATCATAGGTGTATCTGAAGCATTGTTCGTGTATCCTGGGACAACCGGGTGAGCAACGCTGTTATTAGGAAACGGGTGCTAGGTAAGAATGGCAGATCAATAGATGAAATATTGAAACTTCATCAATGGAGGTGGTTGGGACATGTGTTGCGTATGCCTAACCACCGACTGCCTCGACGAGCTTTATTTTGCAGTGTAGGAATAGGTTGGACGAAAGCTAAGGGCGACCAGACCAAAACATGGCAGCAATCCATGAAGTCACTGACAACTGGATTCAGTCATTTTGGTAAGTGTAGACTACCTGGTTGGGGTCCGCGAGATGTTAGTAGTCGATGGTTAGAGACCCTGAATGACATGGCTAAAAACCGTTTCCAATGGCGCAGGTGCATTCATTCTTTGTGTTCTATCAAATCTTAAACTTCTTAATTCTTCGCCACTTTATCTTTATCTTTTTAAGTCTACTTCACTAGATTCTACTTCCTGAATAATATCTCCTAATCCTAACCTCTCCGACTACTGCTAATACCTTTACTACCTCTACTACTATTGGATTTGAATTAACAATTACATTTCTGTGCTAATGTGGAATGGCAACATGAACTGACGTACGTACGTACGAAATTCTACGTTGCTGTTGATTGATTTGGACGAGGAGAATCAAATCCCAAACATGCTTGCGTTGTTGCTTAGTGTAATCACAAGACTGCATTTCGTCAGGGTCTTCTCCAAACAGAACTATGTTGTTGACATTTTCTAAGTTAACAAGTGAGTCTCCTGGTAGAAGGTCCTCTCCTGAAAAGTCTGACGAACATAATGTTAACTCTAAAAGCATGTCTATGACAAAGTTAAACAAGAATGGAGGGTGGACAGCCCTGACGAGCACTACCTGAAGTAAAGAATTCCGATGACAGTTCGCCATAGGCTCTAACTCGACCAGTGGTGTTCGAGTAGAGAGAGAGAGCTTGTATAAGGTCAATGTACTTCTCTGGTACACCTTTCCGTCACAGACACTGCAACAGAACCTCACGATCAACAGAGTAAAATGCCGCCTTAAGGTCGAGAAATACTACTATTGTGGGACGTCTGACCTGACGTATTGTGGATATATATGGTCTATACAGCCACGTCGAGGTCTGAAACCAGCCTGGTTTTCTCGAGTCTGATCTTCACGAGCTCTAGTTAAACATCGAAGTATCATCGAAACTGACGTTTTAGACACTATATTAGTCAAACTGATTCATCTGTGACTGCCACAAGAGGACTTCTGTCCCTCTTTGTGGACTGGAACAATCAGTGATTGAGACCAATCAGATGGGATTACACCCTGTTCCCAAATTCTACTTAAGATCTCAGTCAACCTAACTGCTAAAACTGGACCACCATCCTTAAAAATATCAGTGGTAAGCCTGCTGCTCTCCCTCCCTCTACATTTCCTACAGCCTTTTCAGCTTCATTAATGGTCAGAGGACTGACATCGATTTGTCATTCAGGATGACTCGAGATCGTGGGCAACCAAAGTGTGGCTGAAGGCCAGTTGAGCTGATCCCTGAAGTGCCATGCGCAGCGATCCAATCTCGTGCATTGACAATGAATATTAAGCATATCCTTTTCAGAGATAGTCTCACTTACAGTCGGATTCCTAATACCGGTTTCTTTGATAAGTCCGAACAGTTGTCTACTGTTGCCGATTATCGCTGCCTTTTCCATCTCTCTCGCTTTCTCTGCTCACTACTGTTCGCAATCATTGCGAAGGCTTTGTATCAGCCTGCACTTAAGCTGACTTCGCTTTTCAATGTTCACAGCCACGTGGTATGAGTATACGAGCGTCTATCAGCTCGGGGGATGTCAATGAGATCCACGGCTTCTTCCTAGCATATATCACTGCCGTTCCCACAGCTTTTTGAGTGTCGTTCCAAGCTGCCTCCGGATCGCAATCGCTTACATGGTCGCCTAACTGTTTTTCTAGTTCTTCCTGAAATATATTCATAGCTCTGCTATCATTAGGTAGAACCCGAAGAGGTTTCCTTGCAGTGTCTTTCCTACGTCCAGCAAGCCGCAAACAAATACGCACTCGCACTAGAGCATGATCTGAATCTAAACATGTGCCGCAGAACGAGCGACAGTCCTCTAACGAACCCCTCCATCGGTAGCTGGTGGCAATGTGATCTAGTTAGGTCCAGCGTTGTGACGAATTTTGGGGTCGCCAGGTCAACAGATGCTTTTCCTTATGCTTAGAGTTAGTGTTGGCTATGAATAAGCGGTTATGTGAGCACAGTTGAAATAGACGGTAGCCATTATCTGTTCTTTGAGCCGCGACACCATAACATCCACTCAGGCCTCTTTCCTTGTCACTGAGCAGTAAAGTCACCAGCCATTATAACTATATCAGAGTGCCTAAGGTTTTGGAGGAGGTCCGGAAGATTTCTGTAAAACTCATCTTTTATCTTCTCTGAGCTGCAGTCAGTGAGATAGTAGGCAGAGACCACCAAGAGGCAACGGCGAGTTTTCTTGTCTTCATGAGTCCTTACTGTCCCGTTTAGTCGGACTACGCACAAGCAGCTGTCTACTGGGGTCCAGTCCATGGGTCCAGCAGATGGAAGTTCTACTTCATCCAACAGTACATATATACAAAACCCCACCAAAAAGAAATCATCAATTTGGTATTAATCAACCGAAAATGTACTGTTTTCTTTTCATTCACCCTTAGTAATAACTTTTAATTAGGAAGTCACTAAGTTGTGGATTAACAACAGAGATGATATTATTCTTCATGCTACAGGTTATGTAAATTTCTATCACAGCAAAAAGTGACTAAAATATAAATTATTGATGTTCTTTTGCAATATACAATGTACAGATTCGTTTACTTTGCTTCAAGTCACGACATGACACGATTAAGCAAACCTAGGTTGGTAGATTGGGGTTGGAATCTATGACCTAGTATCGAAAATCGACCACCTAGCGATTACTTAGGTTTGAGTGACAAAACTTTGTTATTACCATCATTATTAATATCTCTCAGTGAAAAGTGTAACTCAGTGTTGGGCACATAAGTCTGCACTAGATAGATAAATTATAAAAACAGACAGAAATAATAACTGAATGAATGTAAAAGAAAACTGCAAAGTAAGCTGACCTGTAGTTATTGTTGGGGCTTTAAGATATTTGATTAAACTATTTCCTTGATCGTTGTAATTACTACTAAAATTATTATTGTTATTACTATTACTATTATTAGCATTATTGTTATTACGATGTCCTATTGATGTAGATGGACTACACGAAGAAGATAACGTCATAGCAGTGGATGCAGTATACTGTGAAGAATAACGTGGATGTGGTTTTAATAAGACTTCAATTTCAGGAAATACTGATGGTGATAACATAGACGATGTTGAACTATTATGCAAAATACTACTACTGTTATTAGTAGTGTTACGATCCATGTATTGAATATGATGATGATTTGAATCAGCAGCACCGCTAGCAGTTGTAGTAGACATAGAGGAAGTAGTTGATGCACTAGTACGATAATGTACAACTGGTAAATCAGATACAGAACTATTTTCACCAACTGAATTGGTATCCATTCCACTTTCTGTATCCGAATTATTAGTTAATTGATTATGATGTGATGTAGAAGAGATACGTCGTGTTGAACAAGCACCATTACTGATAAACTAAAGAAAGAAAGATAAACAGAATTGTCAATAAAAAATGGAGAATAAGAATCAAAACACAAAATAGATAGTAACATTATGATATTAAAAAAAGTTAAATTATTTTCTTTATTACTATTGTAGAATATTTATTAATTTGAAATGATGAAAAAGATGTATAACTGAAGTGTATAAGTTTTGGTAATATTCATATTCTCCTAGTTGGATGACTTTATTGTAAAGTTTTTACTATTATCCTGAACAATATTATTACCGCCTAACTCATATAGAAGTGAAATAGTGTTCATACCAGGGATAAACTTAGATTAGCATTTATTCAAAGATTTACACTTCGTATTCTCGGGAGTAATATTTTATTTTACTTAAACATAGAATTATTGGTACAAAGAGGCATCTAAATATTTATGTGACACATTAATAAACTAGTTTGTTTGTGGGCTGAAATACTATCCGACTGCCTAAACCGAAGTGAGTGATCTTCTTAGGAGGCCACTCCCCAAGCCTTTGACCTAAAGTTCTAATCCACAAGACAGTAAAGAGCAGGGTTAGGAGATGCATGCTCATGGTAGCCAGTGACCAAAGTAGGTTCATACATCATTCGCTTCTTCAAGATGCTGGAGCTCATGTGCAACAATGGTCTGTAATGATAAAGGTTTTAGAATTCCCATAGATGGATCCTTCGTACAAACTAACTCGGCCAGAAATTCGCTTTTGGTCGCTTCAGTTTCTTAAACAACACCCCTGCTACAAGAAGGCAGTGAAAACTTTCCTGAAAGTAGCTAAACATGCGTGGCCATATGAGAGTATTTAAGGAAAGAAACTGAACTTTACCCACTTTTGGCCGTACCTGGTTGTATGGAAGTAATTGTATTTTAAACTACAAACTCAGATACATTCAGTTACGAATAAATCCCTTATGGAAATGGAGATAAACTAAATTTTTTGAAAATGCTAATTAAACTACCACATCTACTGATGCAATTCAATGTGTAAAATCATTCAGTTATGGAGTTTGTAACTCTCTAACATAGTAAATTTCTTTATTTTTATTGTCATTTCATGCTCTGTGTTTCTGTTTTATTTTTTATAGTTGTTAGATGATTATAATTACACAGTGTCAGCATGGAAATTCATCTCTGATACACTATTTATACTTCTACACGACATCCTAGTTAACTTACAAGAAAAATACTGGCTCCCAACTTCTATTTCACTATATTATCATTTTTATGACAAATATTCTTTCAAAATAATTTATGAACCGCCTTTTTCCAAATATTTTACTCACCTATCTACTTAACACGTCATATTATTCCCTGTACTAACTTGATCATACATGCCCGTAAACTGATATACTTTCTGTAATCACTTTTTATTCCACTTGTAGTATATGATGCATTTTTATTAATTGTTAGAAGACTACAGGGAAATGATTTTCGCTAAACTCTTTTACAAAATAAACACAGTTCAATCCAAATACTTAGGAGATATTCAATTACTGGAATTCATTGATCTGTATGGCGTATAAATATTTAATTGCCCCCTTTTTACCAATAATTATGTATATAAATAAAAACAAAATAATACTTTAATATACTCTTGAAGTTCTAGTGATTAGTTATGACTGGCAGAATTTAGACATATTCGAATTTAAACAGTTGTTAGTAACAAAATTGGATTGCCATATTATTATGTTGTAAGTTGATTTAATTCAAAATCCTACCACTGAGCACATACCCAGTGGTTGTAATAGTTTAGATCTGAAAGCCTTGGAGGTAATCTTTGATACGATCGTCGGTACGTACTTCTAGGGAGTCTCATACTGAGATGAAACATTTAGTACTCCTAGTGCTTCCTGATTCACAGTAGTTCGCCGAGAGAGATCGATCTATGACAATTACTATCTACAAATTAAATCAATCTCCACAAAGCCCTCTCAAAAAACAAAACTTACATTTGATGGCGTTTCTTCTTCACTTATTCCAGCATCTGTATGTACTTCACTTGTTCCGCCATTACCAGTATTATTGATGACTGATGTTTGATTACGTCCAGTGTTGATGGAGTTTCTTGATCTATTGCTGCTATTATCATTATTAGCAGCAGTACTGTTGCAGCCATTTAAGCCTAACTGTTGTTCTAGTGATCTCGTCAATGCGGCACTTAAATGTTGACGATTTAAACGTGCTAAGATTTTATCTTGATGTGCTTCATATTCCTTCATTTTTTATAAATGATAAAAAATTTTTAAAAATGAAATAAGAATTATTAGTGAGATGAACTTACGAAAAGTCGATTTGTACATATTGATTGAATTAGTAAAGAATAAAAAAAGATTCTTGCACCATATTAATACACGTAAACAGATAAGCAAATGAAATCATATGTTCTGATAAATTCTCAACAGGCGCTACAACATATAAAAATGAATTTAAGTTAACGATTAAAAATGGATAGCTAATTTGAGGTAAATTCATTTCCATCAAAGTTAGATAGTGGTCAGTAGTGGAATCAAACATATTTCCAGTTACATAACTTTCCATTACTGAAGAAATTTAGTAAACGCAGCAACTCATTATGAAGCAATCGACAACTTACACAGCCTATTATAAACATAATTCTTTGAAAATAAGGGCACAAATCATCAATTTATGGTTACAGTTTAGACGTGACGTCCTCAGTAAACTAGTAATTCATATTTTACGCCAAGCAGCTGAAAGAATATTCAGTGCAGAATAACGACAACTGATGATTTTTATGCGTTTGGTGGTAGAAGTGAAATGAAAAGATGAATGACACAGACTAGTTGATTTTTATGACATCTATTTAGCAACCACCTTATATAAGAGCTTAGAATGGTCAATATCTTAGAGATATATTTTCCCTGCTCACGAACATTTATGTTATTAAATTCACCAAAAATTTGGGAAAACTGGGTACTAAAAGTGCGCCACAAAAATATTTTTTGTCGGCTGAGATATAACTTGCGTACCCGAATCAAGACAGATGGTTTCCTTAGGAAACCACTTCTCAAGTCTTTGACCTAAAGGTTTTATTGGCACGGCAGTGAGTCAGCGTCTTCAACAAACTGGTCATCGGTGGCACAATATTCCCGCACAAACGCATTCACAAAGCCACATGGATTTCACCGGATCACACTACTCAAAACCAAATTGACCATATATGTATCAACAAAAAGTTCAGAAGGACCATGGAGGATGTGAGAACCAAGAGAGAAGCTGATATAGCTTTAGACCACCACTTGCTGATCGCCAAAATGAAACTGAAACTAAAGAAGCACTGGACAACGGGACAGACAACATCACACAAGTTTAATACGGCCTTTCTTCGGGATACCGTAAAACTCAACGAATTCAAGATAGCCCTCACCAATAGGTTCCAGGCCTTTCAGGTACTACACAATGGAGAGGACGCAACATTGGAGAACAATTGGAAAGGGGTTAAGGAGGCAATCACTTCAACATGTCAGGAGGTCCTTGGTCGCAAGAAGCACCATCACAAGGAATGGATCTCTGTTGGTACTCTTGCAAAAATTGAAGGAAGGAGGAACAAGATGGCAGCAATCAATGTCAGCCGAACAAGAGCAGAGAAAGTTACCGCACAAGCTGCATACACAGAAGCAAACAGGGAAGTGAAGAAGAGCATCAGAGCTGACAAACGAAAATATGTGGAAGATCTAGCAATGACGGCGGAAAAGGCTGCAAGAGACGGAAACTTGAGACAATTGTACGAAACAACAAAGAAACTGGCCGGAAACTATCGTAAACCAGAACGACCAGTGAAAAGCAAGGAAGGGAAAATAATCAGCAACACTGAACAACAGCGAAATAGGTGGGTAGAGCACTTTCAGGAACTCCTGAATCTACCAACTCCACTGAACCCACCCAACATCGAAGCAGCATCCACGAACCTCCCAATTAATATTGGCGCACCTACAATTGAGGGGATCAGTATGGCCATCAGACAAATCAAGAGCAGCAAAGCAGCAGGACCAGACAACATTCCAGCAGAGGCAATGAAAGCAGATGTAGAAGCAACTGCGAAAATATTTCACAACCTCTTCGAGAAGATTTGGGATGAGGAACAAGTTCCATCAGATTGGAAAGAAGGATACCTGATCAAAATACCAACGAAAGGCGATCTCAGCAAGTGTGAGAACTACACAGGCATCACTCTTCTTCCAATACCAGGCAAATTCTTCAACAGGGCATTGTTAAACAGAATGAAGGACTTCGTAGACATCGGTGCAACTTCGAGATCAACAGGCCGGATTTCGTAAGGATCGATCGTGTACTGACCAAATCGCTACATTACGGATCATTGTGAAACAATCAATTGAATGGAACTCACCATTCTACATCAACTTCAACGACTACGAGAAAGCATTCGATAGCGTGGATAGGAAAACACTGTGGAGGCTTCTTCGACACTACGGTGTGCCTGAGAAGAGAGTTAACATCATACGGAATTCTTATGATGGATTCAACTGCAAAATCGTGCACGGAGGTCAGCTGACAGACTCTTTCGAGGTGAAGACCCGTGTCAGGCAAGGTTGCTTACTCTCACTCTTTCTCTTTCTCCTGGTCATCGACTGGATTATGAAGACGTCGACGTCTGGAGGGAAGCACGGTGTCAACTGGACAGTTAGGACGCAGCTGGACGATCTGGACTTCGCAGATGACCTGGCTCTTCTATCGCACACGCAACAACAAATGCAAGAGAAGACGGCCAGTGTAGCAGCGGCCTCTACAGCAGTAGGTCTCAACATACATAAAGGAAAAAGCAAAATTCTCCGATGCAACACAACATGCACCAACCAAATCTCTCTTGATGGAAATGCCTTGGAGGACGTTAACACCTTTACATATCTGGGTAGCATCATCGACGAGAAAGGTGAATCCGATGCAGATGTGAGGGCGCGGATTGGCAAAGCGAGGGCTGCATTTCTACAGTTGAAAAATATCTGGAACTCCAAACAACTTTCAATCAACACCAAAATCAGGATTTTCAATACAAATGTGAAGACAGTTCTACTGTATGGAGCGGAAACTTGGAGAACTACGACAACCATCATCCAGAAGATACAAGTACTTATGAACAGTTGTCTACGCAAAATACTTCATATTCGTTGACCAGACACCGTCAGCAACAACATACTGTGGGAGAGAACAGATTCCAGTGGAGGAGGAAATCAGGAGGAAGCGTGTGAAGTGGATAGGACACATATTGCGGAAAGCACCTAACTGCGTCACGAGACAAGCCCTCACATGGAACCCTCAAGGCAAAAGGAAAAGAGGAGGGCCAATGAACACACTACGCCGAGAAATAGAGAAAGATATGAGAGGAGTGAACAAACATTGGACAGAACTGGAGAGGGAAGCCCAGGACAGAGTTGGTTTGAGAAAACTGGTGGGTGGCCTATGCTCCATTGGGGGTAACAGGCGAAAGTAAGTAAGTGAGTCAGCGTCAGGAGCTGAGATATCATGGTAGTCTGTACACAATGCATTCTCTTAAGATTCTGAAGCTAATATAAACTATTGATTTGTAATATGGGTTTTTCAGCCCCTCAAGTGATTTACCAGTTTCCACCATCGAATATTCACTTTCCGTGTTGTCTGTCCCCTCTGTAAACAAAACCCCTCCTACATAAGGATAGTGAGAACTTCCTTGGCAGGTGCTATAGACGTATGGCATTGGAGAGAGTGAGCTCTTCCCACCCTTAGGGTGTACAAGGGCATTTAGATGATAAAAAACTTGCAGCATAGTTAGTTAGAGAGATAGTTAAAGCCATCTAGTTCAAACAGAACATACAATAAACATTATTTACCCCTATTCAATAAACTATTTTAAAAGTAAACCTCACATAAATAACTAAGCTTTTAGATCTTCAAACACCGAAACATAACCATCCAGATCAAAAACATTAAAGATCTTAGCCTACGATAGTCACAAATAACGTATACTGCATTGAAATTTTAAAACCATTCTGGGTGGATCATCCGTATTTAACAACCTGATTTAGGTGCTAGAAATCCGTATTCATTGCATGGTCTGAAACATTATCTATAATTTTGCGTGAAAAAATTTAACCATCTACAAGAAGCCAGTCTATCCCGTAAAATGTTTACGTAACTGCACAACCTTTTAAATGAAATATGCTAGCAATATTACCATTTTGATCTTCTCTGTAATATGTTGTCACTTGGGAATAAATAATCATTACTACTACTCTATTTCACCTCCGTAAACAACTTCCTTTCAGGGGAAAGGCAGTCAATAGGTCTCTGCCAGTACCAGCTAACGTATGTATGCAACAAATTCACTTCTGATCTATGCAAACCACCCAACAACCCTATTTGTATCCACTTATTGAAAATTTGGTTGTATCAAACCGTTCCTGTCAGTGAAATGGTGTAAATATACTATCAGAAACAGACTCTTATACTTAATCCAGCTGCGATAACTTTTGCAGTAAATGTATTTTTCGATCTCAGCAGGACGTCTATCTTCCCCGTGCTATGAGAATTTCGGATGCGCATGTTGTGCATTTGCGAAATCCTTGTTCATCTTCATGGAGAATTTATTTCTAATTCGTGTTCTCCTTCACCAGCCCTTCCATTGCCTTTGTAATTAGGCGTGCGTGGGGTACTGTGTCAAATGCTTCCGCGAAGTCAGGAAGCATTACGTGCACCGGTACTTTCCGGTCCAAGCAGGATGTTCAAATGTTCCATGCTCTGAGAAGATTAGATGTGCACGACCTGCCTTTCCGAAACCCGTTTTGAGCATCATGGAGTATTTTATTCTTTCCTGTGTACTCAATCATTTGTTCGTTTACCAGTCCTCCGATTACCTTTGATAATATTGGTAGTAATGCGATCGGTCTGTAACATACTGTGTCCTTTCTATCTCCTCCTTTGAAGATTGGAGAGAGAGTAGCTTGTTTCTATTCAACGAGCAGTTGGAAGGGACTTCAGTGAATGCCTGAACAGGTCACATATCTGTGAAGCGAGGGCTTCTGCTTAATGTAACAAGACTATGGGACGAATATTGTCACAACCTGGTGACTTTCCTGGGTGTAAGCGTTTTAGTTTCCTTAGTACTAAGTCAGGAGTAATACAGATATTTCCTAAGTCTTCATCTGGCACTGGATTTGCGTAGTACTCTGAACATGTAGATACCTGAGTTAACTGATCGCTGAAGTTT